AAAAATAAAAAGATACAAAATTCAAAAGATTTATTGTATTATTATTTGTTTCAGCTTTCGTTTCCTTTTCATCTCTAGAATGATTAAAGTGTCATTCTACAGATGCCTTGTCTCATTCATCCTTTTTTTTTGATCTTTTCAGAAGGAGTTTTTTTCTCGTTCTGGCAGGAACAAAAACATCGTCAGCATGCTTTTTTCATTACGACTGTCATGGATATTCTAATAAGGTGAACGAAGCCACAAGAAACGTCAATTCAATTTTAATTGAATCAACAATTAAACAACGATTTCTACTTGTTAATTATACTGTTCTTTATTTACGAATTATTCAAGTAAAAATCACAACTCTCATTGCACTTAAATTTCATCTATTTGCATTGAGTATAATAATGGTTACTGAAGTAATTATGAATGTTCTATAATAGAAGTTTCGAATATAATTGGATATTGAAGTATGTATCATAAAACCCAAAAATGAATGAAATAGTTCAATAAAAACTTTTCGTATGAATATAGCAAATAAGCGAAAGTTTAATCTAATAATTGCAGTTATGAACCTTTCGAACTTGAAGAAATATTAAGAATAAAATTAGACTTTTTGTTTTTTTTTTGTTATTTGTATAGGATAGTCGCTACTTGAATGAAACTTATACATGAAAAAGAATTTATAATTTGCTTTTGACTGTTGAAACCATACGTCAATGGTGAAATTGTTATTTTTTTTTAGTATTGTAATTATTAGTCTTTCAATATTTCTACCATTCATAAAAAAAATAATATTCAAATTTGCACATCTATAAAAATTTGTTCACTGAAAAGAATTGACGATAATATTAGTTGCATGATTCTTTTGACTTTCTACTGATAATTTAACTTTAACAAATAAGAAATACGAATAAAAAACATTCATTAATAACAAACGAAATAACAACATATACGAATATATTTTTAGTATTGTTATCATCGGCTCTTTTTTTTTCTTTTACTCGTATCTGTACACCTGAGTGAAAACGTGAAGATAGAATATGAAAAACAAAGGACTATTGAAGAAACGTAATAATATTGCATTTTTTTTTTCTTTGTCTTTATGTGTTAATATCTTATCAAGAGTTTTTTTTTTATTATGACATATAAACATTGATAATTTAGTTTATAAAAGGAATTCTTGATTTTCTTTTATTATAAAGTGTATATATATATGTATATGAGTTCATAATGAAGATCAAACAAAGCAAAGCATAATGAACAACTTTTTAAAACAAAAAATAATGAATGTTTTAAAAAATTTTATGAACAAAGCTTTGTTGACTTCAGGCAATAGCAGTTAGAACAGCAGATGCATAACTAACACTTGAATCGTTCGACTTTTTCACACGACTTGATTGAGCATATTTGACAAATTGCATAGAGAATTTTGGTAATTGACTTGATGGAACGATTTTTTTACTTTGTTCAATTGTCTAAAAGTTATTTTCAAAACAAAACAAAAAAAAAAAAGAATCATAATTAATTTCAATGCTATCAAAAAAACATACAGCAAGTAAAAGACTAATTGGATATCGACCACATATTGTATTATCTGTCGAACGAAGATAAGTATGAAAATCAGTTAAATTTAATTTTTCAATTAATTCCATTCCTTTATGATCTAATTTTTCAATATATTGCCAAATTTCACCATCGGTAGGATTATGTGGTGTATAGGAAAATCGTCGACCTAAAACGAAAACAAAGATAATATTTTTTTTTTAATTTTTATTTGAGAAAAAAAATGTATCATTTACCCCAATGACAAAAATCTGATGAAATAATAAATAAATTTTTCGGATCACATAAAAAAGGTGCTAATACTTGACCATATTTTTCTAATTTTGATGAATCGAGTGAACCAACAAGAGTTGGAATTAATTGAAAATCTTTACGTTTTCTAAAGAGCAACAAAAAACAAAAGCAGAATAATTCATTGAGAATTTGTCTAGAAATAAAAATCTTTCTTATTGATTTATTATTGGTTGTTAGGACTGATTTGAAATATGTCTAGCTCTCATGTTGCATATTTTACTTTTAATAGTTTTTTTTTTTGGTCTACATAAAAGAAAATCCAAACACTACAAGCAATTGATTAGATATGAAGCTTCAGAATGGGTCACGTAATTCAGTGAAAATTTCTGCGAGGATGAGCTATCGATTTTATTCTAATCTTTCATTAAAATATCTTACATGAGTTTGACGTCTCGCAGCTGATAATATTCAGAAATCTTCTATCTATACATAAATTGATTAGAAGACATTTTACGTATGAAAACTTGTGTTTATAAATGCTAGTTTTCAAGAAGTTCGAATATCTACGAATATATCTTACTTCAATAAATAATTCTACTTGTCTTTCATGCTGTTGTTTTTTTCCCACTATATTAAAACTATCCGATCTTATTCAACTCATGATTACTATGATATTAAACTTTTTCGAATATTCTAATGAATAATTGTAATGGTTATGAACTAATAAAATAAAATCTTACCTTTCAAAAACTTTTGCAATATATGGTAAATGTAATTCTAATGAATGTTCATCAGAATCTTGTTGTTTATTCATAAGAGAAAAAAGACCTGTTTTATTAAGTTCATTAGATATTTGTGTATCAACTTTAATATTATACAATGGTGTTTCATAATGTGTATGATTAGTTAATGCACATGTATTTAAACTATAATGATGTGATGGACCAAAAAGAAATACACGATCAATATGAGTTGGATCAATATGTTTATATGCATATGCAGCTGTTGGTCCACTATAACTATATCCAGCATGTGGAGCAATAATAGCACGAGCTTTTAATCGATTATTTGTATTATTATGGGCTTCTGTAAGCCATGTTGATAATTGTTGATCAAGATAATTTCCATCTGATTCATACCAACTTCCAGCATGTGATGCTTCCCGAATTGAAGTCATTGATATCTGAAAAACAAACTATATATATATATATTTGATTTAATGAATATTTTGAAAAATTTTATTGTTGAAAGAAAAAAAAATACATAGACAATTATGTTTTATTTGTTTGTGAAAAAATCGATAGATTACTTATAAATTCATCTAATTTTTCAATAAATATTTCTTGATCATTATTTATTATATCTAATGCCGAACAACGAGGATTTTTTACAATATAATTAACGAATATCTATGAAAAAAAAAATAAATGACAAACTTTTGTTTCATTTTAAATATACTTACTGTACTATATAATTGATGTAAAATATCACGAATATTGCTAACATTATTATCTGTATTTAATATAAATTTTAATCCTGTTGGAGTTTCATAATAATTAAGTTTATAACAATTTGTTTTAAAACTTAGAAAACCATCTTTTCTATAATAAAAAAAAAAAAGAAAAGTTGTTGAATAAACAAATAAATATATATTACAAATCTGTCGGTGATAGACGTTGTACAAAAGATTTCACTGAATATATAAAACCATTCATTAATTTAAATTCCTAATTAAAAAATAACAAAATATTTTTACTATTTTATTCATTAAAAATTGAATTTATTGTTAATTTACAAATAGAAGAACTAACTAAAACAAAAATTAATAATATTTTCTTGATTTAAAATAATTATTATAAAATGTTTAAAACATTATTATGAATAAACACCAAAATATTCGAAAAATTCGATCAATAAAAAGAATGTTCATATATAGTTACTATGATTAACTTCAATCGAAATATCTAAATTTCTTTTCTTTTTTGTAAAACATGATATAAAAGGTATATAGAATGACCTTTGATTAGCATCTTGTAATCATTATGTTAATTGTTTAATTTATTGCACTAAAATGAGAATGATTTCTTTAGAAAAATGACATTCTTTTTAAATACTGCTGTATGTCAATGTTTCTAATTAAATTTCATATATTTCACCATGAATTAGTTAGTTTTCATTGAATATATTTTACCATATATAACTATTGAAGAGAAGTTCTCATGTATGATTGTTTGCAATATTGAATCAACGTTCGAAAAAGATTAAATACTGTATCTGAATACATGATCAGAAATATCATCGTTTTCATTGATGTTTTTCTTTAGTGATAATACACTAGATATTTGATCAAACTTTTCAATATCTGATTGTAGTTGTGGTTTTACATTTGCAGAAAACTGAAATTTGAATATTACGGACAGTATTATGATGTTAATGTGTATATATATGTTATCAAAAATAAGTTCAATGAAAATAGGTTTGAAAAACTAATTAGAACAAGATATTAGAGTTCTTCGCCATGATTATAGTATTTTGTAAGAAAATAGTTTCTCATTATAAAGTACTATCTAAAAAATTAAATTAATTTTTCGAACTTTAAACTATTGGTGCTTTTAAATTTAGTATGTTTGTATTAGTTTACCATTAGGTATGGATATACATATCCGAGTGAAACATAATATCTTTAATCTGAGCTTTAGAAAAACTAAACTCATTTTTTTTTGCATACTTGATATATGAAATAGAACAGATGGCTTATCAGTAGAACCCATCGAGTCCACGAATTTTTGGACCCGGATCCGACTGATTAAAATTTGTTGTGCCCGAACCCGGTCGATAAAATTTTTTTGGACCCGAACCAGATCGATCAAAATTGTTGGGTTCGGACCCCCTCGAAACAAAAACCTTCAGACCCGGACCCGGCGGGTCCGGGTAGGACTCGATGGGCTCTACTTATCAGTAGTGATTTTTATAGTATGTTTGAAATAGGTCCACTACTTGTTCAACTATGAAAACAAACTCTATTTTTTTAGATTCATCTTTATCTATTACTATTTGTCTAAATATTTATAATAAGTTGTCACTTGATAAAATAAATAAATTAGTTTAATTATTACAATCTTTTAGTCTTACTCGAATTTATGCTAGAAAACAAATCAATCTATTCAAATGAGTTTTTCTGTAAGTTCGAACACTAATACAAATTTATGTAAACAGTAATAACATAATTAATGATCATGCCATTGTTGAGTTGCCCTATCATATCGTAGTCACATTAGTTAAACTCTTCTACAAGCTTTTCTATCGAACAATGTTCGGTACATCTGAGTCTTCGTCTCCTCTTGTGAAAATCTTGGTTACATCATTAGCATGACGAGTTGAATGTAAAAAAACAAAAAACATTTAGTTCAATTTTGTTATTAAATGAAATAGTTTGATGATTCAAAATTTTTTACATTCTTTCTTGTAGTGATTATCCATATTATTATTATAATAACAATACTTTAAATAACTTACTTCTTCTTGTGTCATTTTCGTTTGTTTTCTTCGTAGCCATTCGCGATAGAATAAACATTGTCCATTTCGATGGAAAATATATAAATTATAAACAACCATCTAAAAATGTTCTGTTTCGTGTTTTCTTTTTTCTTTTAAAAGAACAAAAAAAAAAAAAATGTCAAAACTTTGTTTCTGGCTTGTTTTTTTCTTTCAGAATCTCGCAATTATATAAATGATTAACAAAACAGAAAAACACGCGAGAATATTATCGAATATAAAGTGAAGAAAAAAATAAACTATAAGATATAATTAATAATCATCACCACGACTAACAACTTCTTTGCATGTAGGTCTTAATATAATTGTATGTTCGAATTGTGCTGTATAACAACCTTTTATATCACATAATGGTGGATATGGATTAACAACTTCAGCATCAACAAGACTTTTTAATGAAAGTAAATATTTACTTTCACCTAAACGATCTAACCATCGACGACAAAAAGCTAATGTACCAAAATTTTTTGTTATTGTATTATATAATTGTTTAGCTTTAGTATTTCTAATAAATTATAAAATATTAAAATAATTATAATTTATTTTTTTTTTAAATTTTTACCTAACAGATGCTTGTTCAGCATCAAAATTTTTCATATAATGTGATACTTCCATATCATCATGTACAACACCTTTACCTGTACTACCGAATGTTTCAATAGCGTATATTTCACCTTCCTAAAATTTTTAATATTTTACAAAAAAAAAAAAATCAAATAAATTTTTGTTTATTTTATTAAATTACCTCCATACGAGTTCCTTCACCACCTTTAACAATAGGTACTGATTTACCAGCATGAATATGATATTGTCCAATAAGATGACCTTGGAGATTACGAATAGATTTGACTATAAAAACAAAAAAGAATATTTTTAATTTTTTATAATATAATAAATTAAATTAATGTACAAAGGATATAGTTAGATGTTTCCACGAGATTAATATTATAGTTTCAAATAGCAACTACAATCAAGATAATTTTAGCCAATGAAAGATTTCTTCTACTTGATGGTGTAGACATTATTAAATTTCAGAAATGCTTCAAGCGGGGTGAAGAATTTGCCTATGTAACATGAAAAGCTCTACAATGTATAATGCAAAGCTTATTGTATATATGCATCTTAAGTTTTCAGAATAAATAAAATTCTGTATGACTAACTTTCGATGCTACGAAAAAGTTATTGCTTTTCTTATTTCTTCGATTAACCCTTCTGGGTTCGGCCTGGACCCATTCATAGAAATAATTAGAAAAAGGATATTTTTGCTTTATTCAAGTTTTTGTATTTGTATAATATAAAAGAGTAGATGTCTTTTTTTTTTACAGAGATTGGCATGTTCGTATTATCAATGAAAATATACAATACGGAAAAAGAGATCTTAGATTGCATCATTTTATTCTAGAGTAGTAGAAATATGCGCATATGTTGATATATGTTATCGTCTATAGATTAAAAAACATTGAAAACTTAGTTTCTTTATCACAATGATGATGTTATTCATATTTGAGTTTCTTTGTTGAGTCCAAAGTTTTTTTTACGTATCTTTCAAGCAGACTCATAGCTGAATTTTACTCATTTTAGACCTATCCATGATGTAGAGTACTACACGAAAAACTGTGAAGTGGATCCACTTGGATCCGAAGACCACAACTCATGGTTTTTTGTTTTGACTTTGGTATTATTTGTTAGAAGAACATACGAACTTCATAATAACTAATCACATTTGTATAAATGTGTCAGTTAATAAATTAAAATTAATATCTAAAATCCACGAAAAGTGCTTTGAAAACTGACGGTATGACACCGGTTCTAACTGCTAAATTGTATATTAAAAAAATTTCTTGTTGCCAGCGTCAACTTTGCACCCGTATGTAGAATTCCTGTAATGAACACGAGCAGAATCAAGAATGAATTTTTTCATATCTGTTCTATGACTATTAATATTTTTTGTGAAAAAATTTTCGATATTACAATTATATGACCTTGAAGAAAAATCTAGGTCAACATTAACAGCGTCTGCATAGCGTCAATTCAAAATTAATTGACATTGAATAAAATCTACAATGCAGACAATTTATATTACAAAGTCTGTTTTATGAACGAGAAATTCTTTATTTTCGGAGATTGACACTAATCTTAAATGAGAAGAAAAGTGTTGCTGTTGTACGATATATTATATGTGTGTATGTGCTTGCAAAAATAGGTATTCACTCTCGAAAAGTTTAAAGTAACCTCTTCGGAAAAAAATATCTAATATCGATTTATAATCTTCTTTACTGAAGTAATTTGCATAAAATATCAAGAATTAACCAAGCGATACGAATATTTCAAATCTAATCGTAATAGATAAGCAAGAATACAGCGAAGTATTCATATTTTGTTGATACTTTGCTCACTTTTCATGGCATAAACTTCCTTTTGATATCAAAAGAAAGTATGAACAATGAAAACTCAATGATTTATCAAATATTTTCAATAAAAATAAATGTTCTCTACAAATTTAATTGACATCGATTGTAGATTTTACGAATTCATAATTTGTACACAAGATCAAATATGTAAGTCTATTTCAGAGATGTCCATCGCGGTCGAAAGTTCACCGTACCGTTTCCGCGGCGATGTTCAAGAAATTTTGTTGACTTTAGACCTTATGATTTGTCCGAACAGGAATATCTCCTAGTAGTCGATCAAATTTGTTGAGTCTTGCCACATAGCGGATATGAATACCGAGATTCCTTGAAAATTCGTGAGTTTTAAAAATTTCTTCCTAAGAAATCGACCGCTGCCGCGACGGTATTTAAAATATCTCTCCGCGCCGCCATGGACATCTCTAGTCTATTTATCGGATTAGTACTACTATCATGAAAGTTTCCATTGACTCGACAAGGGTATTGTTTAATAATGTATAATCTAAATGCTAAAAAAAAGAAAACATTTTCTTCAAACATACTTGGATAAAGTTTTCCATCAAGTTCAAGTTCATGACTTTCCATTACTTCTTGAATTGCTTCACCAATATCACATAAACGTACATCAATACCAGCTGTCTATAAGAGAAAAAAAGAATTTTCGAATAGAAAACAAAAAAAAAACAAATAGCTTTTTCTAATACTTGTATTCCTGTATTTGTTGCTTCTCGAACAGCTTTAAGTAATTCATCATATTTTGGATTGAATGCAAGTGTCCATGCACAATCAATAATTCGACCATTTATATGTGTACCAAAATCAATTTTACATACATCATCATGTTGAAGTATGGTATTATCACCATTATTTGGTGTATAATGAGCAGCACAATGATTTAATGAACAACCTTGATAATAAAAAATTAATACAGTCGAAATAAAATGAATTATCTGTTTTTAAATATATTATGCATCATGAGAAAATATGAAACTCGTTACATGTTTATTTATACTACCGTCGGCGTATCTGCAGTAAGTTGCAGACTAGAGAACAACTGTCAGTACATCGCGGTAGTGTGCACGTTATACTGAACGATCTCTACCGGTGATTTTCGTCTGGTTTGAATCATATAGGATATTTATCCGGAAGAATTAGTTAAGATTAAACCAAAAAAGTAACGTTTTCTTCACTGAACTACACATCAAGATCTAGATTCTAATAAAATTCATAGTAATATCAGCATAGTTGGTCATAATGTTTATCTCCTTCACACACAATACCATATTTTGGCTTTTATTATAATCAAGTAATTGTATCGGCTCATTGAGGATACTAATTCATGATGAGCTTATGACTATCTTCGAGCCAGAAGCTGCGGGTTTACAAAAACATGAACCTGCAACTCTCCCTATCTTTGATTCTAACACGTTAAACTATTGACTTGAGATCATAGCTGCTAATCAATAATAATGATTTAAAATAACTTTCAACTCACTATATTAATGTGATTATATTCCTAGACAGAATTTCGCTTTGAACTATCTTAACTTTAATTTTGATTTATTGTTCAATATAAATATACTATAAGATGCAGCGTATTTCATACTTTTCTTTCAATGTTTGAAAACAAACGAGGAAATATCAAGGGGGAAGAAGCGAAAATGCCGTACTTCCAGACTATGTGATAACTGGGCATCGGATCTCTTTAGCTATTTCAAGTCTACTATCGACCTGTGTTACGGTATATTAGGCGGAGTCCACTCTACGTAACTTTACCTCACCCTAAAGCCCAAATACTTCACCGTACTTCCGAATTGGAAGTACGGTGAGGTATTTGGCCTTTAGGGTAAGATTGACTTAAGTAAGCTGAACTCTGGCTAATATACCGTAACATAGGTCGATAGTAGACTTGAAATAGCTAAAGAGATCTGATGCCCAGTTATCATATAGTCTGGAACCCAGGCAGACAAAATTTTGAGAAAACGCGTTTAAACGCACAAAAAGGGCGATAAATGGGCGTTTTTGGCTCACAGTCGGGAACCTCAAGTATGAGCCAAAAACGTCCACTTTTTGCTGCTTTTAGGCCAATTTCTGTGCGTTTAAACGCGTTTTCTCAAAAGTTTGTCTGCCTGGAAAATACAGGAAATACGTTGAAGTACGGCATTTTCGCTCCTTCCCTCCTTGGGAAATATTCATTTGATTTTCATTCTAATAAATCAAACAAAAGAAAGTAAATTTTACCCGTTGGAAATGCTAAACCAGCATCAAGACCTTTTTCTTTAATTAATTTTCTGTTCATATCTTCTAATCGTTCACTATTAAAGAATAAAAATAAAAATAAAATTTTGAAACATAATAATATATTATAAAAATCATACCAAATATCGATCATTTTCATGCCGGGTTCAATCCAACTCATAACCCATTTTCTTGTTTGTCTATGACATTCAGCTGCTTGACGTAATTCACGATAGATTTCTATTTGAGCCATATCAAGCATACGTTTTTCTTCACTTGTCATACGATTTATAGCAAGCGTTCTAATCAAATAAATAATAATAAAACTTTTCAAAAACAAACAATTCATATTCTTCTAACGTTCTTTTTACCCATCTGCTGGTGGATTTTTTGGTGTTGGATGCGTAAGAATTTGTCCTTCAGGAAAATTTCCATTTGGATATAATTCACAAATAGGTATTGATGGAGGATTTGTTTGTTGACGACTAGATGCAGTTGTAGAAGTACTATTTGCTACTGGTGTGGTAGCTATACAAAAAACAAAATCTTTTATTAAAATGAAAATAAATAACATATGTACTTTTTTTCTTCTTTTTATTTTTCTTTTTCGTTGCAGATTTTACTTCATCACCTTCACCAACTTCTTCTTCTTCTTTGTCATCATCTAAATAGAAAATAATTAATAAATATTCAAATTAATATTTATTAAGAACAATATTTTAGTATGTAAATAAAGATAAAATTATTGAGAATTCAAAAAATTTTAAATGATTTTTTTTTTAAAGTCATTAAAACGACTGGGAATTTTAATATATGAATAAAAATAAATCATAGGAAAACGAAAGTTAAATTCAAATAATTTCATATATCAAACTTGTATTTCGAAATTCTTGGTGATGGCAACTACTACCGAAAGTTATGATTTTTTTTCCAGCTTGATAAACTGAAGGATACAATGGCGTGTTAAAATACAAAAAAATTTGAATTAGAAATTCCAGTCAAAAAAACAACTATCATTGAAATGCTCATAAAAATTTAATCTTTATAAAGAAAAACAAAACAAAAAGTCAATACCATCTTGTTGAATAGATAACGTAGATATTGCTTGTGTTCCATTTTGAACAGGATCTATCTCTGCATTATTATCATCATTTGTACCATTTTGACCTTGAATATTTATAAATAAATTAAATTTTTTTTTTTTGTTTTCTTTGATTATAATTAATTTTACCTTTGCTTTTCTTCTTTTTCTTTCGTTTCTTTTTTGTTTTTGTTACTGATTGATCATCGACTTTGCCAGTTTCATCTACTTCATCATCTTCTGAATTTTCAATATCATTTTGTATTTGTTGTTCTTCAACAATATTACTTGATGCCATGTTCAAAATGTTTTATTTATTTTAATCTTGTGTTTTAATCGTACACTCCCACACACACATACACACTACTTTTCACTAACGAAAAAGACCAATAAAAAAATTGATCATTGCCTTTTTCAAGAAGTTTTTATTAGATGTCTCTACAGTAGTTGATTATTTTTCTAGATAAACATAGAATCTATGATTAATACACAAATTCAATTATAGCATGATAACAAGAGTAAGAAAAATAGAAAAAGAATATATTTACGAAACTTTATTATATAGATAAACTTGCTATGTCTATTTGAATATTATCGAAAGTATATATTATTTTTAATGTGTAGGTTCCGTCAAAAAGATGAGTTCCAGGGTACCTTATTGTCATTTGTAGTATATATAGAGACAAAAGTTAAAAATTTTACTAGCATTTTTATTGACATCATCGTCTGTTGCAGATATTTGATCGAGTTGATTTAACATCATAAAAAACAATGGGACAATATATTACAACACATGATTTTTATCATTCATATACCGATGAACCACATGCAACACGTCGAAAAGAAATGCTTAGTAAGTTAAATTACTTTATAATCCATGAAATACTATTCATTTTGACATCAAAATGTCAGAATAAATTAAAGATATTTGTGTTTTTCTTTTTTTAAATGTAATTTTACATGATTATTAGTTCTTATTTATTCTATTTAGAAAAATATCCCGAAATAAAACAATTAATGGGTCATAATTGGCGTATGGCAATACAAGTTGTTATATCTGTATTTATACAAATAATTGTAGCAATACTTGTACGAGATTCATCCTGGTTAAAATTAATTTTTATTGCTTATGTTATTGGTGGTACAATAAATCATACATTATCTTTAGCTTTACATGAATTAACACATAATTTAGCATTTGGTCATGCACGACCATACTGTAATCGTTTATTAGGTTTTTTTGCTAATTTACCATTAGGTGTACCAGCATCGATAACATTTAAAAAATATCATCTTGATCATCATAGGTAAATTGAATAAAAAAAAAAAAAACAAAACTTTATTCATGTAGTGTTATTCCATTTTTTTTATTAAAATAACTTTATTTAGATTTCAAGGTGATGAAATATATGATACAGATATTCCAACACGTTTTGAAGTATTTTTATTCTCATCACGTATTGGAAAATTTTTCTTTTTACTTCTTATGCCATTTATTTATACATTACGACCTGTATTTGTTTTTCCAAAACCAATACATATATTGGAAATAATTAATTTAATTATAACAATAATATTTAACGGAATAATGTTCTATTTTTTTGGTTATAAAACAACATTATATTTTATATTAAGTACTTTACTTGGTCTATCAATTCATCCTATTTCAGGACATTTTATTGCTGAACATTATGTTTTTAATGAAGGATATGAAACTTATTCATATTATGGACCATTAAATGCTATTACATATAATGTTGGATATCATAATGAACGTAAGAAAATTATAGAATTAATTTATTGAATTATTATTTGAATTATTTTTTTAGATCATGATTTTCCATATATACCAGGTCGAAATTTACCAAAAATACGAAAAATTGCTCCAGAATATTATGATAACTTACCATGTTATACAAGGTAAAAAATTTATTTACATTATAAGAAAAATTTCTTTGAATAATAAGCCATAGTTAAAGTGAGATATAATTCGTTTGAATCAATGCATTACAAAAAAAAATCTTCTTATCTTATTTGACCAAATTTTTTTCTATTTTTCACTTTTTTTTTTGTTGTTTTATAAGTGCATTGAACTATCTTCTATCTATTCGACATATTTCAAAGAATTGATATAATTATAAAATTCGAGAAGATAAAATAGTTTTTTCTTTGAAACAACATTCAAATTTAGAAATTATCTAATATATCGCTAGTTTTGAATAGGGATTTAAAAAAAAAACCCTGCATTTTTTTAAATAGATACATTCAGGTTTTTCGACCTAATGAAAAAAAATAAAACAGAATTCAAAAACCAAACAATGTCTAATAACTCTGTAACAAAAAATGGACATATTTAAATTCTATCAAACATATAATAAATTAGAAAGTAGAATGTCTAGAAAAAGAACTTTTAGAAAGTTTGATTCATTGAAATTTATGTATATCTTGAAAGTTTTACAATTTTTGCATGAACTATTTTAAAAATGAGAGGCGGATCCACTTTAGATACAAACTATATTCTGAGATAAATTAAATGTTTTCAAAATATAGATCTATAATGTATTAAGCTTAGTTGAAACTTAGACACATTACACAAAGTAGAAGATTTTAATACAGGTTGATTTTGAGATTGAAAACAAAAAGCAGTGATTGTATTATGAAAAATATTTCAGAACTTACGTTTATGTAATACTATTAATGAACCTGATTTTGAAAAAAGAATTTTTCAATAAAATTTCGACTTTTATTTAAATTAAAGTTTGCCTACATTGTTATCAAATTAAGATTACATATCTATATGTGTTGTTAGATATTGTATGGATTGAAAAAATTCTTTTATATTTTCTGGACTCCGAGATAGAAACTAAAAAAAGCAATGTCATAAATCGCTTTTATTACAGTTTCCTATTGAGATTGAAAAAAAAAAAAAGATTCAATTTTGAACTTAACATGAAGCTCTTTTGATCTATACCGATAAATGATGAAAATTATAAAAAATTAAATATTTAACATATTGCGTATTTGAATTTTCGATACTAACGAGGGAACATATGCAAGTGTAAAATCGCTTTTGAGTCAGAACTGGGCGCATCATGTAGGTCTTAGTGAGCTATGAATACCCTGAAAAAAGTTCGGGCTGTTGGTTTATTGCTGCCGAGATATTACATTTTTACGGTATTCTTTTTATCACAATGCAGTGGTCCCCATCAGGACTCTCAGAAAACCTAAGTTTTGAATTTCGACCTGAAACTTTACACAGTGGTAAACTATAACGAGAATAGTTGATTGTGAAAGCTTCAGATTTTTTGATTCCTTCTATTATGAAACAAGAACGAAAGAATATATCGGTGTATATTGGGAAGTAAAAACGTGCTGTTACCGTAGTCCTGTCTTAGGATAGCAAGAATAAAATGATCTGAAACTTTTACAATAAACTCTTCTCATTATGATCTATCTCTGCGCAAAGTTTCAAATCGAAATTCGAAACTTAGTTTTTTGAGGGTCTTGAGGGGAACCACGGCATTCTAATAAAAAATGTCGCAAAAATACAATATCTTGGTAGCAATAAACCAATAGCCCGAACTTTTTTCAGGGTATTCATAGCTCACTAAGACCTACATGACGAACATACTCTTGATTCAAAAGCGATTTTACACTTGCATACGCTCTCTCGTAAGTAGAACTAGTTAGGTTTAGTAAAAAGAAGTCTCTCATATCTTCAGAGCAACGATACGATAAACTTCTTTGAGAGTATCAAAATATAATTCGAGTAGATGAGTGTCCGAAAACTTTGGACCCGGCGATCTCTAATGTTAGCAGAAATAAATATACTCGTCTGACGATTTTTGACCAATCAATTCTTTTTTTGTTTTTTGTATTCTAAAACATTTATTGTAATATTTTTTTATTTGTCTAGTTGGACTAAAGTACTGTATGATTTTGTCATGAATGATAATGTCGGTCCTTGGGCACGTGTAGTTCGACCAACAAAATTTGGACGTGATTCTGTAGTCAGTCAACAAGAGTATGAACAAAAATTAAAAACAATTGTTAAAGAAGCTCACAAACGTGATTAACAAGAAAATGATTAGAAACAAATTTTCATGATTTTTTTTTTCTCTCTCTTTATTGAACTTCATAGTCATAGGAATTAGAATGATTTTATGATGAAAGATGTTCTCATGATGTTTCCAGCTTAGATAAAGCTTTAAAGTTCGCATAATAGTCAATACTTAGTCTTCTGTGTCTTCTCTTCTGTGGTGTCAGATTTTCTTTCTGTTCATCTTATATTCATTTTCTAGCTCCTCAAAAACTTTCTTTTTTTCTTTCTCGTCGCTTGTCAAAGAAGTTAATTAATAAAATACGCAATGTTATGTTTATTTTGTTTTTTTTCTTTATGCATTATTTTTGTCATTAGTTTTCTTCTATTATGTTACGTATTGCATGGTTTTCAATTCTATATACATTTCTGACGTCTTCCATTTATTGTTTTCCTGTGCTAGTCTTCCTCTTGTTATTTGTGTTGTTGTGTAGCGAACAAAATAAAATCTATGAAATATGCGTGCTACAAGAGAATAAAACGACATTTGTGAACAAAGCTTTTTTTTTTTGTTTTTTATTGGCACAATTACAGAGATAATTCTAATGAAATAAGAAAACAAGAAATTACACTCGCGTAGACGGACGGAGAAAATATGACAATATGACAGGTTGACAAAAAAAAAACAGAAAAAACGTAGGTGTGTTTAGCTTTTGATTTTTTTTTGAGAACTCCTTAGTAGTGGAATGTAAAATAACACATCTTAAAAAGCTTTTCTTCAGATAACTCAGAGAAAAAAAATAATTAATTTATATATGCAAAGGACAATATTTTTTTTTTCAAAAAGTCTACTTGTTTAGGACTACTTTAAAAACAAAAATAATATTAAAAAATATTTGTATACATGATTAATCATATGATCAATATTTTTTAATATTGACTTGCAAAAAAAAAATAAATTTGTTTTAGGATAATGAAAAAAAATACGGAAAGAAAAGGATTATGTTTTAATAAAAGCTAGAATAAATTTAATAAATACTACGCAATTGATTACAAATGTAGAATATAAAATCAATTTGGCTTTGAATTCACTTTTTGCGTCTTTTTTTTCTTTAAAGAACATTGTCCTTTACATAAAAAATATAATCTCTGAGATTTCGTCATTACCAACGAAAAACACATGGTGCTTTTTTTAGAATAAGAAATTTTTAAGATGAATACAAAAACAACAACATAAAAAAAAAACATGCGCTTAGGTGATTTTTTTTTTCTATTTGATTACATTATTCATTTTTTGAATGATATCCGTTGGTAGTTACTGTTGATATTTGCTCGATATTGGCAGATGTTGTTGTATGTTGTTTGTTGGAATGTTTTTTCATATATATTAATTTTCTTTCTTCTTTTGATAAATGTACTGAATGTGTATTATTATTATTATCAATAACATCATGAAGTACTTCGTTGACTTTATGCTTATTTTTTAAATCAATAGCATGATTTAATTTTAATGCATCTGAACGTATTGTACGACGAATACGAGATTGTGGTCCTAATCTTGGATCCAAAATAAAATCATAAAGTACTTTAGTCCAAGAATAATGACATGGTATATTATCATAGTAGTCTGGCGCAATTTTTTTCAACTATTTAAGTAAAAAAAAAGTAACAAAATGTTTAAGAAAAATCATTTTAAATCTCACTTTTGGTAATGAATAACCAGGAATGTTAGGAAAATCATGATCTATAAATAACAACAAAAAAAAAAAAGTCTATAAAAAAAAAGAAAAAACTTAAAACCTTACGTTCATTATGATATCCCACATTAAATGTTAAATAATTTAATGGTCCGTAATATGAATAAGTTTCATATCCTTCAACAAATGTATAATGTTCTAAAATAAAGTATTAAATATATATATATATTTTGAAACGATTCAATTAATTAATCTTACCAGATAGAAAATGTCCAGAAATAGGATGAAAACCAAGACCAAGTACAGTACCAAAAAGTAAATACACCAATGATTTAAAACCAAGAAAATAAAAAATTGTAAGATCAAAAATAGCTTCAATTAAAAGATTAACTGCTTCAAGTAATGTTACTGGCTTAGGTACACGTACAAGTGGTCGTATAGAATAAAGTAATGGTTGTGCAACAATATAAAAAAATTTTCCAATTGATGTTCGAAATAACCATATTTCAAAATATGTTGGTAAATCTGGATCTAACATATCATCACCTTGAAATCTAATTTATCAAAAAAAAAAAAAAAAATAATTCATATTTATCTTATTTGAAATTCAACAAACTTACTTATGATGATCAATATGATATTTTTTAAATGTCACAGATGATGGAATACCTAATGGTAAATTAGCTATATATCCAAGTATTCGATTAGCCATTGGCCTATGATTACCAAAAGCTAAATTATGACCAACTAAAATTTGAAAAGAAATAATTATTTTAAATTAGTTTTCTTTTCTTATGCTTGATTATTTCATACTTTCATGAAAACTAATCGAAAGTGAATGATTCAGTGTACCACTAATAATATATGTTAAAATCCATACATATTTCCATTCAAGATCTCGAACTAAAATTGCCATTACAATTTGAATAAGTACGGTAATAATAACTTGAGCAGCTATACGCCAATCATGGCCCATGAGTTGTCTAATTTGAGGATATTTTTCTATAAGAATAAAACGATATGCTTCGAAAATAAGATTTATAAATTAATACATACGTAACATTTCTTTTCGACGTGTTGTATGTGGCTCATCAGTGTAAACCCAATGAAAATCACTACGTGAAAGCTGACTACCCATGATAATAATTTAATTCTAATAAGTAAAAAAAGAACCTAAAAGCGCAATACAAAAGATACGTAAAATTTTGCGAACATTTATATAATTTATATGATTCATCATGTGTACACAGTAATGATAACTCCTATCTTATAGTTTGCTTCAGCGCCCCTACAATGTTGTCATTCTTATGATAAATAAATGTCTTTTAAGATAAAAAAAAACGAAAAAAAGAATAGGACAAAGTCTTTGTATTAACGATCTAACATCTTACTTTTTTACTTTAACCGCATTCGATCATCCAACGTGTTTGTGAACGAAAGAGAAAAAAAACGCTCGTCTACCTGACAGATTCAGTGAACTGGAACAGGGCATTTATAAATATACATTGTTACTATGACGAATACAGAATCTATATAAAAAAAAAAAAGTCTCAGAAATTTCACGTAAGAAAGAAAAATTCACGACGATTGATCAAAAACATAATAATGAGGAGGGGGAGGGTTGAAATTCATTTAAAGAGACTTTCAAAACAAAAAAAAGGAAGCTTCATTTCGCCCTCTTTATCAATAGAACAACAGGGTTCGATAGTTTCTCTCATCATTACATCGTTGTTTTTTTCTTTTATAAAAAATGAAGAACATAAAAGACTGGCATTGTATGATTCTTTTTCTCTTTCCTTCCTCTAAAATGGCTCAATAAGTCATGTCTATCACAATGGGCTTCGCGTATTAAAAAAAAAAAAAAAGAAAGACATATCTCTTGCATCGTATTAACATTTAGATAAATTTCAAAGTTTTTTTGTGTTTTATATTTGCTCACTTTTTCGAAATCCTTCATTATACGATACTCGATACATACAAGGTCTAGTCTCAGTATATTTTTCTTTAAAAACTAGAGAAAAAAAAAACACTACTAATAATGATTATATTAATACTTTGTATCTTTATTCTATTATCATACAAAAAGAAAAGGAACAAAGGATCTATCGTATATAGTACAAAGGTATAAATGATTAGACATAGGTTTAAGTGCATTATAGTGTGAACCAGAATATAGATCTAATCCAGGTCTGCCACTAGCGTGCTTCTAGTTATTTCTTTTTTCTTATCGTCCTCGTTATCACTATAGCCGTGGTCTCTTTTTTTTTCATTCTTTCAATGCTTTTTCACTATCCTTTTACGCATTATACAACTTTCTGTTACCTGATACAATTGACAAAGTAAAGAACGAGAGAAAGAACATGACTAGAGTCATAAAATGGCGACAACTCAAAATCATATATATCCTTTCTTTGCTTTCTTCCTTTCCTTTTTTTTTCTTCTTTATTTTGTTGAGTGTCGTTCGTGACGAACATGATGGTTACATGTAGTCATGACAAATGTTGCTTGTTTGGCTTTGATTTCTATTTGTCATCCTACATAGTTGACGACAGCTAACGGGCATCACTTAGTTTTGCATATTGTTTTCTTTTAATGCTAGAACGAAGAAGACGAAGAAAAGAGAATCGAGAGGAAGGAAAGAAAAAAAAATGTATACCAAGGCCAGTTTTTCAGAGTCTTTTATCATATATGCAAGCTGATCAAATGCTTAATAAATAATAACAGCTGTTCGATAGTTGTCAGAAGAGGAAAAACTGATACAAAATGATTCATAAACTCCATTTGTCTTATTGATGCGGTATCTTATATTGAAAACAATAATCACAAAAGTTCCAATATAACCCTTGTTCTTTTGCCTTTATATTTCAATATAAAAAAAAACAAAACTCAATGTACTCAATTAACAAAACATACTCTTAGTAGTATTTTCTTTTTAATCGAACTGATAACTAGAGCAATAATATTAATTTTTTTTAAACTTTGTTATTTGATAATATTTTCTGATTGATGTTTTTCGAATTTGGTCTTTAGATAAAAACAAGTGATGTTATACATTTATTGTAGTCATTATTCTAATTAGCTTTAATGAAAAATAGAAATATGTTTTCGTATCTTCGAGTTTAGTTGGTGATACATGAACAATTGAAAAACACGATAATAAGAGTGAGGGTTGATCAATATTTATATACTTTCAAAAAACTTAGTCATTTAATCTCGGAAGGTAAATTTATTTAAGTGATAAATACAAGCCACACAAAACCGATTTAGAATAATTAGAAATTGATATGTATCGAATATATAGGGTAAACATTTGCAAGATAAATCACATATAAAATGAATCATTCTTTTTTCTTTTTTTTTGTATTATTGATTGATTCCTATGAAACATCATTATAAAATGCGCGCAATGTACGTAGAATTCGGGTGAAGGTTTTTCTCATTCTTTCAGATATGATTTAATAGAGCTTGTCGAGCTCGTCATGGCTATGTACTTTTTCATTTTAAATTGACTATTGTTTAGATCGGCAGTTGATCAAATATTTTTTATGGAAGGGTGATCATAAGCAAAAATCACATTTGGAGGTTCATTCGAAATGCTGGAAACTCATTGTTGTTGGACAAAAAAATTCTTGAAGTGAGAGAGAACTACTCCTTCACTACTAATTCAATGAAGAAAAAAACTCGAGTAACTAAGACATTAGCCTTGATGCGTACAAAATGTTTTTTTTTTACATTTAATGATACTTATGTTATAAAATTTTTGAAACTACTTTAAAAATTGAGTAGTATATGATAAATTAATATACAATCGAGAAAATTTTGTCAGCCATCGATAGTCTCAATAAACTTCTAGACATTTATATCTTATCATTGTTGTAAATCTAATTGATTCTTTATGACAATAGATAGAAGTAAATGTGTTATCTTTACAAGAATTGTCTAATATTAAGCTTAAAAAAAAATATCTATTTAGTATTCTTATATATTTTTCTTATTATTGAATAAATGGACGTTTCTCTCTCTATAATGGCAAAAACATATACATCAAAAGTTCAGTATTAATTAGCCGTTTCTATCATCATAATTCAGCATCAGAGCAAAAATATAGACCATATTTTTGGAATCAACAAAAGAAAATAATATGCATTCGAATAAATTTCAGCAAAAAAAAAAAATATTTAATACGGAAAAAAAACTTGTTGAACCTATCGATACCCGACAAAATTTTCTCAACTCTATTAATTTATTAAGTATTGCTCAATTTTTATAGAGAGAAACAAAATCAATTCATAAGCATCAATGCTAATGTCTCAGTTATTCGAATGTTGCCTTTTTTCAGTTGAACAGTATAGTCAAACTGAAATGAAAATTCTCGGATCATGCTTAACTATATGGGAGTTATTCATCATTTTTAATTCATTGTTTTAACTAAAAGTTTTTAGTCACATGATTATAATTGTTTAACAATAAATTATGCTTGAAAACTCAAAGAAAAATTCATTACATGACATATTGACCTGTATTCAATATTGAGATATAACAACAAAATATAAATGTATTTTTTTTATGTGTGGGTTTTATGCGTAAAACAATCATAAACTCTTTTATTGAAATGAAATGATTCATTGACTCAAACAAAACTATCCATATAGACTTAACTAATTGTCTAAATATGTTAAATTTGCCTACACAATTTTAAATTATTTCAAAGAAAAACATTGGAAACAAAAATCATCAATAGTAGATATTACATTTGTTGTATATTCCTTGGTCCTGATCATTAAAAGATTGTATTGTTATTTTTATATGATTTTCATGAGCTACTTTTTTTTTTATTATTTATTATGACATCATATATATGATGTTTCATTTATTCGAAATATTTTGAAAATATCTATTTGACATATAATAAACTTCACTGTTTCTAAATCGGTCTCATTAAAAGGCGATAAATCTATATGAGTTTATGATAATTCATTTAAAAAAGAACAGAAATAGATAGGTATGCCAGAGTTTAGGTGAAATAAACTTAAATCAAGTCATTGACAAGCAATAAATTTTATTATATCTTATCAGAATTCATGAAACTTTGAGATCCATGAAGCTTTCTGTTTCTTTATTAGATGTATAAACCTATAGATACATATAAATACGCCACTTACGATCATTTTATTGAAACATTTCGATTATTGTTTGCTGTTGAATTCTTATATCAAACCAGATTAAAACCTTCTCGACTCAATAGACTAACATAAATAGAAAGCTTTATTATAGTTTGTAACAAACAAAGCATGTCGATGTATCAGTCATTTGTTCAAGAAAAGAGAGATAAATATGGTGAACATCAACAATTTGCGGATTTTATTATGATTGAAAATTCACTTTTCTTTCTTCCATTAGAAGACACATTAATTAATCAATATTCCTTATAGGAAAGGATATATAACAATAGTATAAAGAAGTATCAGATCTCATAATCAACAGCAAGAATTTTATAAGAAAACTTCTTGAAAATAAATGATAAATGTAATGAAAAATATTTTTCTAATATTTTGCTTATAATAATAATGAGAATAATCCTTCAAAAAGTTCAAAAAAAATCATGAATTCACATTCTTGCATAATTTAAATGATCGATAATGAATATAGTTCTTGAGAAGATTCTCATATTGAAAAAAATATAACGAGATTTATTGTTGATTTTCTGTCACTTTCCATTTCTTGTTCTTTTTTTTTCGCTAACTTCAATTTAAAGGACATAAACTAGAAAACATGTATTATATTCATAAGAATGAAGGTGTGAGTGACTGCTTGTGAGTAAAGAGAAGATCCTCATCGGTCTACCTTAGCATTGCAATCTCATCCAACATTCACCCTCTACAAAATGAATGATATAACATAAAATAATTCATAAACATAAACAAATATATATATATCAATGGACATGAATAAAATAGTAAGCAGGATAGGTGTGCGGGTGGATGTTATTA